GCAAACAAAACTGATGTGCCAAAATGAAAAAATACCTCCCAATAATTTGAATTGTTTACTATTTACCTGGTCAGGAACCACAGTATCTAACTGAGAAGAGTGGATACAGCCTTGCTGGTGTGACTCGTGGTTGAGGTTCAACTCCCAGTCAGGGCACATGTCCGGGTTGTAGGCTTAATCCCTAGTAGGAGGTATGCAGGAGGCAACCAATCAATGTTTCTCTCTCATCTGTTTCTCTCTCTTCTTTCTCTCCCTCTAAAAATCAATGAAAACATATTTTTTTAATGAGGTAAAAGAAAATAGGGAAGAATGAATAAAGAAAATGTGGTATATATACAGTGGAATATATTCAGCCATAAAATATTTTTAAAAAGAAAGAAAAGAAAATCCTACCATTTGCAACAATGTGGATGAAACCTGAGGGCATTTTGCTAAGTGAAAAGTCAGACAAGGAAAGACAAACATTGACTGTATGATCTCACTTATAGGTGGAATCTAAAAAACACAAAGAACAGATCAGTGGTGGAGGGCTTGGAAGGTGAAGGTGAAGGTGGCCAAAGGGTACAAACTTCCATTTATAAGATGAATAAATTCTGGGAAAATAATGTACAGCATGGTGACTATAATTAACAATACAGCATTGTATATTGTATATTCTGAACATTATGAGAATAGATTTTAAAAGTTCTTACCACAAAACAAATTATAACTGTGACCTTGTGGTAATTATTTTACAATACATACATATATAAAATCACTATGTTGTACATCTTAATATTACATGTCAATTATATCTCAGTATAGCTGGGGAGGGGAAAGTGGAAAGAAATTAATATGCTACCCACAGCAAATTTTAGAAATCAGTACGTTATGCTAAAGCAGCCCAAAAGGGAAATCTGACTGCACACAGCTGTGTAATAAATCAATTTGTTACTGTGACAGTCATCTCAAAAGTAGACAACGGCTGACAGACAACAAAGAAGTTAGATTAGACACAGGGGCAATATATAATAGAGCACCACAAAGTTTCTGTTTTGAGGGCTTTTTTTAGAACAAGTCTGTTATATCACTCATTGGGAAATAAATGATTCAAAACAGACTTCCAAAAATATTACTCTAATTTTGACATCATTAATCAGTCAATAGATTTTTTAAAGGTTTCAGAAATTTATTTATTCAACAAATATTATGGAATGTACACTATGTGTACACTACTGTCACAAATGCCAGGAATACAATGAGAAGCAAAAACAGAGCTGCTGCTTTTATGGAGGAGATATTAATCTTAAAACAACAGAAAAATGTAGAAAATGTTTAGTGCTAGAAGAAACTATACATATAGTGCCACGACATTACCTATGAAATATGGGTAACCTGGGAGAGGAAAGGTAATGACCCTAGAATGGAAGAACTGAAAAGAGGGTAAGGATTAAGGATTAAGTAAGTGTTTTGGGGGGGGTGGGAGGGGGGGTTTGAGGAGATGCTCATCAGCCTGCTGCAACACCAAGTACAAAGGCCCTAAGGCAAAAAGTAACATGGCAGTGTAACTAAATGTCCATTATGCTGAGCTCCTATGAACAAAATAAAGATAATTCCAGAAATAAGGAGCTGGGGCAAAAAGAAGTTGGTTGTGACATGCATGAGGTTAAACGTTAGCTAGTGATAGATTATAAATAATACCCAATTTGCCAATAAAATCCCATTCTTCTCAGACCACATAATGTGATTACAGACCTGTTCCCCTAGGAAAAGAAGTACAGTTATATAATAGTCTATTTTTATCCTCACGGTGTCACTCACTACTGGGCTCATTCTTAATGACATTTTGAGAGGTATCTATAATTTATACTTAATTTGAGTATTAAAACCAATTCAGAAGAGTACAAAGAAAAAGAAAAATCTGTGCTTTACATCCTAAAGAAACAAATCAGCATAAAAGATCTACCATTCAACTAATAATATACTGAAGAAATCCCTTACGATGTCCCATAGCGTTCCCACCTCAACATTAAGATACAACTAAGCATACTAAATCTCTGCCACTGGGTGAGGATAATGGTTTTTCATCATTAACAAAAGGTGTTATTGTAGTACTCTGCACCAAGAAAGAAAAAGGTCAGAAAGGAAGACAATAGAAAGAAAAAAATCCAGTCCCATCTAGGAATCTAATCACATACCCTACTTCTGATTCTTCAGTTTAGGTAATCCTAAAGAATAGGCAAGCCCTGGTTGGTTTGGCTCAGAGGTTAGAGCATCAGCCTGCGGTCCGGAGAGACCTGGGTTCGGTTCCCGCTAAGGGCACATAACTCGGTTGCAGTTTGTCCCCAGCCCTGGTTGGTTGTGCGAGTGGCGACATCGATGTCTCTCTCTCTCTCTCTCTCTCTCTCTCTCTCTCTCTCTCTCTCTCTCTCTCTCTCCCTCCCTCCCTCCCTCCCTCCCTCCCACTCTACCGGAACAAAGAATGAAAAAATGTCCTTGGGTGAGGATAAAAAAAAAAAAAAAAAAAAAGAATAGGCAATACTTAACAAACTTCCATTTAGAAAGATGCTTTTTCAAGAAGGCAACCATGTCATTTAGCATCAAATGTGTCCCGCCAAAAAGAAAAGAAAGCACTGAGGAGGTCAAAGACAGCCTCCTTACCAAACAGAGAACTATTCACTGGATCGGGCAGGGTGTAGACCCCAGGCCACAACATCAGCCACAGCCACCAAGCACAAGGAGCCCCTTGCATAAAGTGGTCATGCTCTGAATGCCCTAGAAAACTTTCAAACCATTTTTAGTTTCTATAGATCCTCTATAACAGCAGTTCTCAACCTGGGGGTCGAACAACCCTATCACAGGGGTCACCTAAGACATAACAGTAGCAAAATTAGTTATGAAGTAGCACTGAAAATAATTTTATGGTTGGGGGTCACCACAACAAGAGAAACTGTATTAAAGGATCACGGCATTAGGAAGGTTGAGAACCACTGCTCTATAACAACATATTTAGTGTCCAAAGAGAGCTAACTTTTCCACATTTCACAAGGGTCCTCAGCTCTTCCCAAAACACTTTGTAAATAAGTTCTTAGCAACCACCCTCTACATACTCTTATAAACATCAAGTAGGAATGATTTACTATCATCCTGTAGAAGGTGTAATATGGATGTGCAAGAGTTCCCAAACTAGTTTTCTCAAAACTGGTTTTTCTTGTAGAGATATTCAGAAGAAACAGGGTGCCATAGTCCCATAAACGTAGAAAAAGGCAGGGTTGTTTTATGTTGACTGTTAAAGAGGTTTCCTTAACTGCAGGAATTATGACACTCTCTCATGAGAGGGGCACTGTGTGCAGCATTTCCCACACATGTCTGACTATAAACATTTGGGGGAAATATGTCCACTGACAAGGAGTAAGGTTCCACTGAGAAAGTCTGGCCTTCTGACAGTGATCCAAATGATCACATTACCACATTGAATTATTATGTATCAAGAGAAAGGATAACAAATAAATCTTACTTTAAATTATTATGCTATAATCTATATCTAAAGGAGTTAACACATTCTGTTCCTTTCTCATGATCTAGAACTAAATAGGTGCATAGCAAGCATTTTGTGGTAACTCTGTAATGAGACAGTCTTTGGTGGCTAAGAAATTCTTCCTGTCCAAGATGTAAGTCTGAATCAAAGACACTGACAGTACGGAATCTACACATTATTAAATCTCCACACCAGAACTCTAATCTCTCTACAACCTGAACTTTGATAATTTTATATTACATAAACATCTTCTAAGTTAATCATCAATCAAGAAATTGTAGTTGTGAATACAAGTTTATCTATGTAAATTCTAATATTGATTCTTTTGCTATTCAAAACTAATTCTTATAGAGGGGGATCTGGTACTTTATGTGAAGTTACAGTATACTTCAGTAATGACACCATAACCTCCTTATAATCTCCCTTTCCTGGAAAACCATCAAACTGGGAGGCTTTTAAACTGTTCATTACAGCTCATATAAAATTCATGTCATTCCTCAGCACTATAAGTCAGGCAAACAAAATTATTTTTAGCTAGTTTTACTGGTTTCTATAAGAAAAGTACTTTAATATACACAATATATCAAATGAAAAAGGAAAGTTTTGCTGGTGCCCAACAGGTTCTGAATCACTTGTTGCCCTGCATCTTATCTGAAACCTAGATCTGTCTCTTCTCTGAACAATGCTATAAAACTCAGTAGACTTAATGAACTTTACATATTTTCTGAAAAACAAAGCAGGTTACTTGGCTTCATCTATTATCATTGATTAGAGAACCTGAAGATCAATTCTTTAGAAAAGAAAGTTATCAGGAGAAATAAACCTTGGTCTGAAGACCATTAAAAATACCTCTCTTGCCTGTCCAGTGTGGCTCAGTGGATTGAGTGTCATCCCATGGACTGAGAGGTCCCGGTTCGATTCTCAGTCAGGGCACATGCCGGGGTTGCAGGCTCAAACCCAAGTAAGGAGTGTGCAGAGCCGACTGATGTATAGCTCTCTCTCATGGGTGTTTCTATGTCTCTCTCCAAACAATCAGTAAAAACATATTAAAAAAAAAAAAGAGTAAGAAAAATGAAAGTTAAAAAATATCTCTCTAGCTTCTGATAACTCCTGTTGCCAATGTAAAATTTCTTGTTTCCAAGAATCTTAAGGTTTACTGGTCCCACCAGAGTCACTAGATCCTAATTTGTGTGAAAAAGTCAAAAGAGGTGAAGAGAGAGAAGCAGCAGCATGAGAAAACAAGAGGACTGACAAGTGCACACACCAGGAGAGGGGTCTGTGCTGAGGCAGACACAAGAAAGAAGTGAGGACATCCAAATGACCAAATATGGGTTAGTGTGCTTATTGCCTTGAGCTTGTCTACCCAAACTACTATTGACCCCTCTAAGCTCCAAGCCTGCCTTACCAGGTGAAAACGCACCTGAATGCTGCTGTTGTTTCCCCTCCACAAACACTGTAAAGACCCAAATGCCATGCACCTCACCTCCTGGTCTGTAGACAACATCATCCTCAGTGATGTAGGAGGTTATCTCTCCAGTGTCTGTTCTTTCGTAGCGAGATTTTTTTTTCGGTGGCTTCTTTTTGTTCTTCTTCGTGGACTCCTCTGTGGTGGCACTATTGTTGTCATTGTCCTCATCTTCACTGTGATCACTCTCAGCATAATTTTTGGCTCCTCCTTCCAAGGTACAGCTCCTGCGTGGCCTTGAATTCTCACTTTCTCTTACTTTGTCTCTTTTATCTCTCTCTCGGTCCCGATCTCGGTCCCGGTCCTTCTCTTTGTCTTTATCTTTGTCTTTGTCAGCTGTCATGATTCGCCACGTGCCTTCTTCTGTCCTCTCACGGCTAGGCCTCCGTGAAAGGTAGACAGTAAGCCTGGGCTTCAGTCTTCTGAATTTCTCACTCAATTCCAGGGAAAATCCAACCACTCCAACAACCCCAACGTTTCAAAAATGCTAGGAGAAAAAAAAGAGAAATATTGATTTTACTTTATCATTTTCTTATATTTTTTTCCCTAAAATAACATCTAGTTAAATAAATGTCTTACTCATGCTTTGACCCTAAAAACTTCTCACAATCTATAGGGGGAAAAAAGTACAAGTGATAAAAAATAGTAATAATTATGTACAGCTTTGGCCTCAGCTACCATGTTTGGGATGTTCTACAATAGCAATAATGAAAAAATGTCTGAATGCATAAGATGAACTATACTTTCTGTACACCAATTGTTTTCCCCTTTTTAAGGAAAAAGTGTACCCTAGTAGACAACATACAATGGGTAAAGTTATACAAAAGGCACTTCACAGCCATAAAATTACTTTTAAAAGGAAAAACCCTATAGTAAAAATTATTTCTACCTGGGGGGAGGACCTGGATAACCTTGGGAATTGTCTCAGTGTTACTGTCTTCTGAAGTCTCTCTTTCTAGTCACTTTCCCAAATTTCAAGAACTCCTCCTAACAATAAGCATAAGAGTTGACTCAAATAAAACGACAACTCCAAAGCAATATTCTCTGGCCTTCTATTACAATTGTTCACATCTTCTAAGTCTACTGTTCTAGTTATTTTCCAATAAAAATGATTCCTCTAAGGATATATTATCTCTGCCTTAACCAAACATAATAGCTTCCAAAAATAACCTTCTATCTTTAAGGAATATTAGGTGGTTATTACATTCTTCCAAACTTCCACTATTAATAGCTTCCGTAATAAACTCCTCCCTAGAACTAAACCCAAAAAGGAAAGTGTGAAGTTAAGGGTTTAAAATGAGAAGAGTGAATACCAAGCTTTAACCCAATACAACTCTAATAAAAATTTCATAGGAGGGAAAAACCTGTTTCGTTTAAAAGTCAGTTTGGGAGCAGATATAATAACCAGTAACTTGCAATCTTTTATCCTCTTTCCCAATATCTCATCTAATCTCATCAACAATCTGTACCAAATACTATCAGTGTGCCAGGTGTTAGGAACTAAACATACAATGAGGGAAAAATTCAGGGTCCTTGCCCTCAATGCTCTAATGAAAAATAAAGGTGGGGGAGACAATTGATCAATATGAGAACCATCTGTTTCTCATGTTACTAGGGTCAGATAAAAAACATATGAAAAAATTAAAAGACTGGTCCTCTTTATTTTGACAACAAATCAGTTTGCAATTATATGCCTCAGAATCAGAGGAAATTCTCATTGGTCATGCCAAATCCATAAAACTTATCATCTACTTTTCCCAAAGCTCAGAGGTCAAACCTGATACCAGGAAAAAAAAAGTCCTCTTAGCACTTCAAATTCATTTTTTATTTTCCTTAGGCATTCAGGAAAATAAAAAAATGTTAACAACTACCGTTGGGAGACAGACCAATTAAAAAACAATAATGCTAACAATCTATAAGCAAAGTCAGAGAGATGAAAGCATGTAGCACAAACCAAGAGCACTTCCTTCTACAGATGAAATATGCTTTCAGATAGGGTTATAGTCTGACATGAGCAATTGGATGGATGAAGCTGACATATGCATTTGGGGAAAAGATTAGGAGCTCAGGTATAAACATGTTAAGTTTGAGAAGCCTATAAAAACCACATAAAGACTTTAAGTAGAGATCCAGACTAGAGATAAAAATTTAATTTTTAATTCAGTTATTAAGGACATGAAATTGAGTGAGATCACCAAGGCAGTGAGTGTAAATTTTCCAGTACAAATTTTAATATCCTTTTGCAGACTTCCACAACTGTAATTTCACATTTATTTGTGTGATTTGATTAACTTCAGTCTCTAACTCCAAGCTAGAAGCTCCATGAGCAGGTGACCCTTCACTGTTTCTGCCTTCTCTTGTATTCTCAGATCCTAACTCACTGCCTGGCACATAAACATGAGTAATGAATTACTTTTTCTTTCCTCCCCTTTCACACATAAGCTAGATCAATCAAGAGGGCATTATGAGGAGACTTTTATTTGGGCAAGAAAATATTTCATGCGTAAATAACTGAGGTGATGCTGGAGCTGGCTTATAAACCATGAACAAGGTAAGGAGGAGCAAAAAGAAGAAAACATTCGAGGTGCAAGGAAATTCAGTTTTTAAAAAATAGTGTTTGATTAAATTGCTGTCCTTGATGGCAGCGACAGGGAAAAACCAGTAGGACACAAGCTTAAGCAAAAAGGGGGAACCCCTAAAACAATATAACAGCTAACACTCACTGAGCACTAAATATGTGCTGAAGAATTTTACACGTGTTAAGTCATTTAATCATCACTATAATAAGAGTGACAAAACAATTTATTGTCCAACCTGAGACACATCTGAGAGCTAAAAAGATTAATAATTATTCAGGAAAACATGTAAACCAGGTTATATGATCATCCTAACTATATCTCTAATCAGTAGGTACTATCATTATGTACATTTTCCCAATGTAAAAGTAAGCACAGAGAGGCTGAGCAAGTATACCAAAATCACATGGTATTTCGGTAGACCAAAATAACACATCTATGTGTTAGACCTAGAATTATGAACTAAAGCCACTGGCTACACTGCCTTCAATTACACAGCCTTAAAAGCCAAATTATCCAATACAAGTAGGCTAAGCAAATAGGGTATCTGTCACTGTAGGCTCTTGAGATGAAAACAGTATTTTGAAAACATTTATTTTGTCTGGCAGGAGATATTTTCCATCTAGAACTGTTAGACTGCTATCCAAACAAGCTTGCTTTCAAATCCACTATCTCTGAAAGCCTAAACGGGGAAGGAACCAAAGCATTTCAAGAACTTCTGCCTTTTATTTTATCTCAATAAATATTTTAGCATTTTTCTTTTACGAACAAAATGGTCCAAGTGTGGAAGACCTAAATGAGCTACCCACTCTGCTGGGCCCCAGGAGAAGCAGCTAAATTTGGAAAGAGTCATGCTGAGGCTGGGCAACTGCCTATTCCCTTTCATACCCTCATGTAATGTAATGACTTTAGATCTGGAAAAGGAAATGTCCCGCTAATACCTGTACTCACTGGATAAAAAAATAGGCATTCTCATAAAGAGCAGCCTCCTGCAGAGAATATATCAAAATATGCCACAGAATCACTGATGAATATGCAAAGTAACAATGAAATGTGAGTCCAGCAGATCTGTAAATCCATGCAGAGGGAAACTGGGTTTTATCTGAAACTGCTGTAGGATTGAGAATCATTCTTCCATGTAAAAATAAATGGGTTGTGAAGTTCTTCCACCTGACCAAGTCCAACCACATAAGCAAATGGCTGTGTGTGCCCCTCCAACGATTCTCTACATTTAGGGTTAAGGAATATTTAAACTCAACCAATCCTATGTTTATATACTCATTCTCAGAACACATGTCTTATTGAAAGTACCTAAATAACCAAGATGGGATGAGCTAGTCAAATTCAGAGAGTGGCCTCTGTGGTATCAAAACAGAAGCACAGAATAAATGCCCCTTAATTGGAAGTGTCTGTAATACTTAGAATAAGTAGCACTTCTTCAACTCCTTGAGAAGTTTTGGGGGAAAACTGAGAGAACTAAAATCGGTGAACTCTGACAAATATCTTAATTTCTACCAAAAAGACATAATAACAAAACACAGGACGTGCAAAAGGTGGGGAAAGTACCCAACACAGCAAAACTCTAGGTTAAAATTAGCAACTCAAAATTAAATAACAAACAATAATCTTTTTATTTGCAGTGGGAATAAGGAATTACCAAAAATGAAGTGCCCAAGGAGGTTTTAAAAAATAAAAATACAAAGTCCTTCCTTTCTTTAAAGAACACACACTCATTCATATAAGCAACCATTTCCCCATACTGTTCAATATACAGTTTTTGCCAATCACATATGGATTTTTTTACTTTTGCACATTGCCCACAGTTGTGTCTCTTCTACTCAGTGGATAAAGGAAACCAGGGCTTCTCAACTATAGCACAATAACATTTGGGGCCAGATGTGGGGGAGGTGGCACTCATCCTGTGCATGATCTTTTGTTCTCTCCCCATGTAAATTTAGTAGTTCAACCCACTTGCTCCCCTCAGGACAGCAGAATACACACACACACACACACACACACACGTGTGTGTGTGTGTGTATATATGTATGTGTGTGTATACATATGTATGTACATACACATATATACGTGTGTGTGTGTGTGTGTGTGTGTGTGTCTCCATCCCCTGGGGAACAAAGCTGCACACAGTTGAAAACCAGTGCTTTAAACAAAATTGTCTATATCAGAAATTTTATTATTATTTTATTTGTATTTTTTTTAATCCTCACCCGAGGACATTTTTCCATTTTTTGTTCAGATAGAGAGTGGGAGGGAAAGAGAAGGAGAGAGAGAGAGAGAGAAACATCAATGTGAAAGGGACACATCGAGTGGCTGCACGGCCAACCAGGGCCAGGGACAAACCGCCCTTAGCGGGAACCAAACCCGGGTCTCTCTGGACCGCAGGCTGATACTCTAACCACTGAGCCAAACCGGCCAGGGCTATCGCAGAAATTTTAAAGGGTCAAGTATCTGTGTTTATTCAAAGGTATGCTTGACCAATATGGAATCCATAAAGCTAACACCATTATAAAAATAATGCAGCATGTTCTTTGTTCTCTGAAATAAACTGAACTAATTCAAAAATACTGCCTGAAATAGTGATTACACAGATATATGAAACTGAATTTGAAAAACATATGTAAATATCCTGAAAATCTTGATGTTTCCTGGCAAGCCCTGAAGGTAATATAACTCACTGGTGACCTGTTCTAATCATGGGGCCAAGTGGATGCTTCTGTTATCACAAAACTAAAGAGGAAATCTGGTGTCTACAATGCCAAGTACAAGGGAAACCAAAAGCCCATGAACTAAATCCTGCATGTGAAAGGGGATAGTAGTCCTAATCTCACTTTCCCTAAACATGGCCATAAACAGAAAACAAAGAATAGAAAAAAATAAATACAAAAACCAAACA